TATTTTAACGCGTTTTCAAGGACAGAAAGGTAACATTAAATTTCGTTAAATCGTTAAATTTTACATACATTTTTACATGGGCAATACAGGAGCAGGACGATATGAAAAACAGCATAGAAATAAATCACTTTCACAAAGCACTAGGAATCAATAGCGATTTTTATAAAATATTTACTTATGAATTGCAGAATGATAAACAGGTATAATATGGAAAATCTAGCAAGATCAAGATTCCTGAAGCATAATTTCTGCTTGTATCCTATGTATATTACTATTAATAGTAATAGCAATTTTTCAAATTTTCGTGAAATCTATTAGATGATTTTTATTTTTTTTTCCGATTAATGTTCATTGATCAAAAAGGAACAAGAGTTTCTAGTAATAAGACTAAAATAAGAAAATATTTATATTCAAAATATTCCACTAAACAGCCGGAGTTGATTTTTACATATTTTCATTAAATGAATTCAAATAATGATCTAGTTTCAATATCTTCAATTCAACCAGAAGAATATCGACTTCAATCAACTAGAACTACTGAACCTACAGTGTCAATAGAATCAACAACTAATAAATAATTTTTGTCCACTCGACTGGTAGTCTATCTTTGTATGTGTATACTTCTATTCATCTAACGGATCTCAATACTATTTTCTATTCATTCCATTTCTGTTGCGAAACGTAACTTGAAGTCTTCTAAAAAATTATTTTGTTTTTCCAAAGAAGCAGTACTTTCCTTGCTAATGTGATATCTCATTTTAGTATCAAAGAGATAGTAAACTCTTTATCAATATAGTTATCTTGCGATTCTTTTTTTTACAAATCTTAAACACTTTTTGTTCGTTTCATTTCACGTATAATTAGATAACCTAATACAGCCATTATAAATGACTTTTATATAAGGATCACCTGTATGATACTTCATATCATGTCTCACATTTGCACAATACTTTACCTTTTTTGAAGCATGCAGGGCAGGATGAAAAACAACCGTCCTGTGACGTTTTCTCACTTGAAATTTTTCATATGAAAATAAATTCAGTTTCATTATCGAAAAATATTCTCCAGCTGTCAACACTTTTTTTACTATTCGTAGAACTTCTAAAAGTAAATCTTCAAAACTGCATTAGATTATATGTGTAGTTCTCGCGCTGTTCATGAGTAAGCAGGCAATAAAACTCATCGAAACATTTGTAAAAGATTTTTACAGGAGATAACAGTATCAAAACTCTAAATACAAAATCAATCTGAATAATAAAAATGTAATAAAAAAATTGGACACTTTTATCTCTGGTGATACACCATTTTCGTTTCCATTGAAAAATGGATTCTTATAAATTGACGTTACCCTTCTTTGTCATCGTCGAAAATCGGCTGATCTAGAGTTACGCTCGTAAGAAAATCTCTTACTGATCGGACGGAAATGCTCAAGATGTGTCAAACATTGAATCAAACAAGCAAAATATCATACTTGAATGACTTCTTCATCCGATACTGATTCAAGCATCAACTGTAATAGATCCATTCGGCTTGTACGACCCAAATTAATTCTTTTCTTAATTAGTTCTTGTGCTTGTTCCTTAATCCATTTAACTGGATCATCAGTAATCAGCTTTCGTGCTAGAGGTATATAATATCGAAGCCATCTGCGTACAACATTATCAACTGCATGTAACGTATTCCAAAACCGTTTGAATTCAGGCATAAACACATACAAAAGTACAGCGTTACTAAGAGAAATTTCTGCAGTGAATACACGTTGTGATTGAATAAAATATGAATTATTCGGATTGTTTTGCATATCTGTATCAAGACCAAATCCACATGACCATATTGTATCCATTGTAAAACGTTTCAAAAATGTATAAATATCAAATGGTTCATCAAATTGATACTGTTCAGTTAATTTTGTCATTAATACTTCAATACTATGATTAACTAATGGAGACATTTGTTTGAGTTTAGCCGATGAAAATGTTGGATTAATTACAAATCGTTGTCGTTTCCAACGAAGACCTTGCGCAGTAAATAGATGACCTTCTTTCATATGTGGTTCATCAAATGGATATTCACGACGTGAATGAAAGTTTGAAAATGCTTTGATAAACATATCTTGTAAAATATTTAGATCGGAAACGACAAGAATCGGTGTATGACCTTCGAAATAGCCAAATACTGGACCATATTTTTTTGTCCATTCTTTTATGCATGATGATATACGTTTTGTTTTCAAGAAGTTCATTAAATTGCCAAAGAAAAATGTTGTTGGCGGACCTGGAATACCAAGTCGAATAAAATAACTATAAGTTCGATGAATATGCCATAAATATACAACAACTAATACGATAAATATAGCAATGAGAATACTAGTTAACATGCTGAAAGTAACGTATTTTTGCTCGTTATAGATTACTATGCTGATATTCTCTTTTTTCCTTTCTCTTCCCAAAGTTCCATACAACAGTGATACGTTATTTACTAGATGATAAAACCGGGTGACCTATCAGTGACTAAACTCGTCAGTTTCAGAAGATTTTTTACGAAAATAAAATAGTAAATGAGTATTTTAATCGAATGTTATTGTCGTTGTATCCGACAGAAAAACACAAGCAGTTAATGATGATATTAAATATTTTTCGTATAGATTGACAGTGACATCTGACGAAGCAACATGTTTCAAGATTGAATATCAACAAAATATGATATGTACTACAAAACAATCATTCAATTGTCAATTCTCTAGTCACGATAGTTTTTTTTCATGCGTACGCATTTTACATAAATCAAAAATATCTATGAAAGGAAAATGTGAAAATTTTAGATTGATGAAATTTATTTTTCAAGAAAAAAATGTCAGTATTAGAAAGGTTTAATAATAAGAATATTTCACTGGTATCAACATTGAATTTTTCATTAATAAGAGACTTTCTAGTGCTTACTCAGTACTTCATTCAGTGGAAAACTTACACCTGTTTTTTTTTCGTACTAATTAATAAACAGAAAGCAGCTTTGGATAAAACTAAATCTTAAATGGTACCAATAATAAAGAAGATTCAGCTTATTTTATCGGAACAGTTCATGAAGATCTCCGATGATACGAGCAATTCAAAATGAGTGATGAAGAATTGGTAATACCATACGAAAAGCTTTAACAAGATTTCTTTGTATTTAGTCTAATTTAGCAAAAAAATGCTTTACTTTTCTATGTTATTTAATCATACTACAACTAATATCCTTATGATAAACTTTTGATAAGATGTATTTCGTTATGATATGCTCTAGTCGTAATGCCTAACCATCTACACATATTGGAATATAAGAAATATTATGGCCTCAGAATCTTCGTTACAGCTGCATTCAAGTTCACATCCGTTTTTGATAACTTTGAAAACTAGACTAAATGAATAGAAAAAGAAAAACATCATTCATGAATAGCAGCGCATAAGTAGAATTCGGGCGTGGGATGTGGGGTGGGGGTGGGAGTGTGGCTGTGTGTTGGATTTTTTGTTTACTCACACCCACACTGACTCGCACCCACACCCACACCCATAGAGGTGACGTCACGCGTACAGAGTGTTACGTCAATGATACCATCACGCGTTCCGAGCGCTACGTGTATAGCGTACTACGGCACGTACGGAGCGTACGTACGCTTTGTAACAAGTGTTCTTATTGGTTCATTTTTTATCCTACAAATGTGTTTTTATTCACAGACTACTTTTATATATAATATACATTACGAGATTCAGATATTTAACATACCTTTATTTCGATATCAGACGCATTTCATAATTGTATATGACAATAAAAAATAAATGCATTTCAAAAAACTAAATACACGAATTACCCATGTAAAAGAAATACGAAAAAAAATCAGCTTTAGAGAGGTCAAAACCGATTAAAAATCGATTAAAATCATACTATTTTAATCAATAATTAAGTAATAAGAATCATCGTAAAATCAGATTTTAATCAATTATTATTATTATTATGATTATAATCGGTTTTTGAAAATATTCTAAATCGATTATAATCATAATAATCGAAATAATTGATTAAAATCTGATTTTACGATGATTCTTACTGCTTAATTATTGATTAAAATAGTATGATTTTATTCGATTTTTAATCGATTTTTGATATCGATTTTTTTTTACATGTGTATCCGACACTTAAAAGAAATAACAAAATATTCTACATATTTCATAAAAGAATTTATTTACGACCACTGGTATTTTTTTGTGCTGTTGGTTTTCACGTGATTATTGAGCTGGATTGAGATTTACACGAAAGCAAAAAAATTCATTCATTAATACATCAACTAATACGTTATCGCTTACTCATCATTTCGATGTCGAATACGATAATTTTGAGATCGTTTTTGACCTTGAAGAGATATATGTCCTTGTGTTTTCCAAAAGATGTCAAATGTGACGAAATCATTTGAATAATAAGCTGCTCTTACAGCTTCTGAAATGTAATAAAAACATTAAAATTTATATGAAAAAAGACATCTATTTACGTTTAATTTTTAACATTCGTTCATCATGTGCTACACCAGGGTGTGGGTGTGGGCGTGGGTGTGCGTGTGGGTGTGGGTGTGGGTCTGGGCGTGGGTGGGTGTGGGTGTGGGTGTGAGGTGTGGGTGTGGATGAGATTACAGAGATCCTTACATATCCACACCCACTCACACCCCACCCACACCCAGCCACCCACCCACACCCTGGTTGATGATAAAGCTGTGTCATGTATTATTTTGTCTATGTGTATGTTTTATTAATAACATTTGAAAAAATCAATCTTACAGACAAACTCTAAACTCGAAAAGTTTCACACATTTTGAAGATGATCGACGTAAGCATTGTAGGGATCCCATAGATTCACCCTAAAGCTTTTTCATATTCTTCACATTTGTCTTTGAAAATAATCAATTCAGTGATTATTGTTTCTCCATTAAAGTTTTGTTCAGTACGCGTCAAAGTTGCACCTTTCAGTAATATTTCGAATTGATATTCGGTTGTTAACGAGCCATCGCTGCTCATTGTACTATGTCGCCTAATACCAATAAGCATTGGGCACATCTTTACGTCGAAATTATTCAAGAGTTCAGTGGAGAACATTTCCTTCCAAACATTTTCAAACCTAACAGAAAAAAAAACTTTCCTTCATCATAGAAGAGACAATGTAAATAATGCCAGTGTTTGAGATAATGAGTTTCTATTAACTCTCACCTGAAGAGATACTGGCAAAATACAAGCAGATCAATTTATGAAGATTTCATGGTAGTGAACTGCGTGATCGCCTAAATCACGATCACGCGTGATCGTGATTGTGATCGTGATCGTGATTGAGAAAGAGGCTGCCGTGATCACGGTTATAATATTAACATTCAAATTTCAACCATTCATTCAAAAACTTAATGCTTCACATTTAAATCAGAAAAAAATCTGATAGCTCATATACTACTTATAACAAAAATAGGAAGCAATGCACAACTGACCAAATACAGTTCCTACAAAAAACAAGCTTGAAGGAGAAAAACCGAGAAAAACACATAGTCATATAATTTTCCCATCACTTTCACTATCTAGCTATCGCCCTCACTCGCGTGCTTTGAGCGGGATCAGTGCTACACACTCCAAAGATAAACATACACCAACATCTCTTGTATCTTCAGAACATTTTTACGATAAGTGCAACTAAATGAAATAATGAATTTTTGGGGTGGTTTATCTATTCTTTTTGACTGTATCCAATGAGGTATTTCACAAACAGGGTAGATCCAATTGGAGGGTTGCCAGAGACGTAAGTCTCTCCGCCTTCTAAATAACTCAAAGTTTTTATTATTCTTACCAGTTACAATGCCGAAAACAAGTATGGAATAAGGAGTTGTCAAACGTTTTTTGAAAATACGGAATTAAGTGACATTTTGCTCTAACAACCTATAAAGTAAAATCAGAAATTTTGCTGCTTTGCGAAAGAGCAACGTCTACGCAATCAAAGTCGATCATTTGAGCAACGAAATTTTCCACGACTGAAAAGCTTTGTTTTAAAGTCTTCAGAACCATGGCTGCCTTCGGCGACAAATGTTCCTAGGAAATGTTATAACTGCTATTAACGACGGTTTATTTTTTTCGCAAGCAACGACACGAGATAGAAGAATTTTTAATCAATCTGCCCAAAAATGGCACTGAAAAATAGTGCCACTTGCATAAGTGTAAGCAGTTTTCAAAGATTTAAAACTTAATTCAGACAAACTTCGATTGATTGTTGCTTTCGGAAGCCATGATTTTACTCAATTGCTACAAGCGTGAACGATCTCATTGTTAAAAATTTTGAGAGTACAGCATACAAGAACAACTAGAAAAACTATTGATATTTCAGATACACAATACCTCGGACAAAATGTTTTGTTTATACTCGCCCCTTCCCTGCGGAAGGTCTTAAAGGTTGAGCTAGTCCTGGTCATAGAGAGGGCACGACCGAATAGTGAATAATTATTTTTATGTTTCTATTTAGATACAATATAACATCCATGATCGTGATTGCGATTTGAAAAACTTCGTGATCGTGATCGTGATCGTGATCAAAAATATCAGTAATGCAGGTCACTATTTCATGGTATCCACATGAAGCGAATGTGTTCAGCACGTGTGAAAGTCAAGATGAAAAGATTGTGCGATCTCGACATCAGAGAGTTGGTCTCATAATGTACTCGTGTTTATGGAAGAAGATTTTGCATCACCTACGCGTTAGAGTTAACGGTTTCAGAATGTCTGCAAATATGTGTGAGAAGATTCCGATGCATGACGAGGGAATGTAATTCGCACCGAGACTGCAAAAGAATTCTGTTATTGACATGCAAGTCGTTACTTGCTGAGTTTCTTTGATAGTTCGTATGAAAAATTTCTGTCTACAGAAAATATGTGAATTCAATTTGATCTCAATGCCAAATCTTATATCAACGATAGCACTATTGCTCCATATATCTCGCATAAATCATATATCTCTATCACCTGAATTATCTTCAATACATTCAGCGCCTCCTTTGGTAGATGGTGGGGTGTGGTTCCAGAAACCCATGCAAGATGTCAACTGTGTTTGGATATCATCACAAGATGCGTCACTTACTGTGCTCTATTCGATTCCAAAGTAACATCCCATGGCCATACAATATAATTTTTAATTAAATAATCAGTAATAATTCCCAAAGAGAGTATGCCTTTACAGAATATGTTATCGAGATCGTTCTTACTATGGTGTAAATAGACTAATACTGGACGACGCTAAATAAAAATGAAATCCAGTATTTTGTTTATAATAAGATCAGATCAGAACTCACATCTTCAACCGCTTTCCAACTAAATGCAGCTTTGCATGCATCTTGAAGGGAGCCTACGAAGAACGCTGTATCACCATCATAGCGTCGTGGAAACATTCTGAAGAAAGCTTCAGTGCCAGCAGCTTCATTCGGGTATTCTTTAGGAACTGTTAATAGATATATAAATGAAAAAAATCGGTCTCTTGCTAATTCATTAAAAGTAAAACACCTTACAGGGAGTGAAAGGAGTCGTAGGAGCCGGAGGGCTACAAGGAGTTTGAGGGATCGGATCATCATCTTTATCATCAGGATTGTTTTCCATTGATTGTGAGTTGTTATTCTATATAGAAAAGTGAACAGAATTGCTTTTGAAAATCTATATCAATAGCTAGTGTATTGAGTTTACCTGAAAATTCCATGCTTTTCTGTTATCCTTAATTTCAAAAGTTAGCAGAAAATAAGACAATCTGGTTTTATGTAAAATTAAATGATGAAATTTACCATTAAAATCACTGTTGTTTTAATAAGTTCGAGGGTTTCAGTAACAGTAATCGAACACACCGAATACTCTTTGATTCGAGAAGAGAAATGGTCGCGTGCTCTGATAAAAATAAAGAAGACCTTTAGAACCTCTTAAAATTCTGTGCCTCAAATGCTGCACTGGAGAAACTTCGTACAATAGGACTAAACATTGTAAGTTTTTTATGAAAAAATGTTAAAGCATGACTTATTCTCTATCCATAGGTGTTGAATTCAGAGGGTTCTACCTAAAAAATGCTAAGTTGCAGAGGTTTTACACAATAATAGTGAATCTGGAAGGGATCTGCCAATAAATCTTGAATGATAAAAAGTTTCGACAATTCAAAAAAACTTTCGGAATAGCTCAGTGAAAAAAACAAAAGCATAGAAGGGTTCGACGGAGAACACTTGGTTCATCCTGTAGTTATTATGAAATCTTTTGAAGAAAGGTCAGTACTGATATTTTTCAAATGTAGTTCCCGATTCAGTCGACAGAACTACGTCATCGCATTTCTTCTTTCTTTTACTCAAATCTATTTAGACGGTGAAGATAGAATGAATCTAAGTTTATTCTTCTAGGTACTTGTCTTTATTAATATCATTTAGTTATTATTTTCTTGAGAATAATATTGAAATAAACCAAAAACCTACAGGGAACATAAATTTAATTTACAGTAAAACTAGCAAACAACTGTCAAAACATATTAAGTCTCTGATTTATGAATAGTATGTCAACATTCTTCGAGATAAATTTTATAGTGTTCTTTTTTTTTTCTTAAAAAGCTTTTTAGTTAATGCATGAAAAGAGAAACTTACATTGTGTTCTTCAAGTATAGAAAATAATATAGTTACTTATACGTATCTGTGTACACGTACCATAGCTGAAACCAGTATCAACAACAAATATAGTTGAGTAAAACTCTAGTCTAGAGTTTTGACCGATCGGTCTACCGATTAAAGATCGATTCTTACAATGAAACTTTCTTTCATGGTGAACTCTCACAAGTTACAATCTTAGATTATGGATCTAAATTGTGTAAATAATAGTACCTTAATATTTAATATGCAGCTTTCTTCTCAGAAGAAGAGAAGGGAATATCAATTTATTGTCACTATTATCAATAACACAGTAAAATGCTTTTTAAAGACTAAAATATTGAAACTTGTTCATAATTTGCAATTGTGAGTTGAAAAGAAACATCATAGATTAATATTCTGATCACCGCTATCTTTAACTGAAAGCTACATATGAAATAGCTAGCCTATAGAGAGTTTATCATGTAATGAAGTTTCACTCTATGAATCGATCTATGACTAATACACAGCGCTCTTCAATTCAAGGTGAAGATTTCAGATCGGTAATGGTCTTCAAACAGCAAGGAAAATGAAGAATCAGTCGAAAAATTTCTAATAAAAAAATAAAGGCTTCGAATGCGACGAATCAGCCGAATCCATCACTACAATGGAACTTTTTTTCTAACACATATAGCATAAGAAGTAGAATTCCTTTTTTAAATTGAAATTGTTGGGTGCATGTATTTTCATGATATTGTATCGAAATTAATTTCGATGGAGCGGTGGAAATGCAAAAAAGAGAGTATTGAGAATATGGTATGGTTTTCTGCGTTGGCGCCAGTGCAGCTATGGGTGTGAGTGCGATTGAACTGAAAACTCGCACTCACCTCTACATCCGCACCGCAACACAATCCAGAGAATAAAAACTTTCGAAGTCCGAAGTCTGGTTTCGGAATAAAAAAGCTGACACCTCATGTCACTAGTGAAGACTCCTAACGAACAAACATTTGTCAATTGACTATTCAGTTCAATTTCATATCTATTCCAATGGTATCTAAATGTACAGATCATGTTGACATTATGCGTGTATTATTTAATAAGCTTTTTTTCGTTTTCAATATTGTTCTAGTAGGTTACTCACCAGAGCAAAAGTTATAAAGACCAATATATCGAGACAATTTTATGTCAATGTGCTGTTGATTAACCTTGGTAGCGTGTAGGTAACACTGTTTACTTGTAGTTGCAAATGATTCTTTTTCTCTTTTACAGCAAGGTAACTAAATGCATTTCTTCCTCATAAGTAATTTGCTGGGTTTTTTCCCTATTCTTTTTTTATTTTTTCTTACATACTCTGACGAAATTATTCACACAACACGTGCACACTATGCGTAAAATGATTTGTGCACAGAAAATGTTGCATATGAAATAACATCAAAACATATCAATACACAAGCAATGACGACAAGCAAAAGGTAGGAGAAAAAAGTCAAGAAATTTTGTTTCGAAACGCCGAATATGTTATGCTGATGTACACACACTAGGGTGTGGGTGTGGGTGTAGGTATGGGTGTGGGTCAAGGGGGAAAAGTGGATTTTTTTGGATTTTAAATCCCAAAAAAAACGAAAAAATCTGAGAAAATCTGAAAAAATCCCAAAAATTCAAAAAAAATCTGAGAAAATCCCAAAAAATCTCAAACAATCCCAAAAAATCTGAAAAAATCCAAAAAAATCCCAAAAACCCAAAATCTAAAGTAGTCTTCAACAGCATACTCTGATCATATTTTCACGTACGTCGAACATAGATAACCAGTTTTAAAGGCTGCTACACATATGAGAAAAGGTCCCTAGTCGACAGTCCCCAAATGAACCAATTGAAAGTCCCATACTCCCTCCTCGGTCCCTGGCGGAGTTCCTGTCGTGATTCCCCGGAGATTTCGAGGGGCACTTTATAATGAGATTTCACTAGGGTTGGATATTATGATAAAAACGTCGTATACGATCGTTTACAGTCTTCGTAAGTCTCATGGTATATTTCTGGGGAGTCCCTACAAATCCCCAGGGACTCCCACATAAATCCGCGGAGAGTTCTTGACTACCTCGTAAATTCCTGGGGTCTCCCTGCCGTGAGCCCCCGGGGTGTGAGTGTGGGTGTGGGTGTGGTTGTTGGTGTGGGGTGTGGGTGTGTGGGTGTGGGTGTGAGTGTGGATGTGGGTGAGGGTGGGTCAAAGTATTCCATTCAGCCACGCCCACACCCAATTCCATCCGATTCCGGTTGATTCCGGAGTCGCATGCAATTCTGGAATCGGACGGAATTGCTGAGAATTGGTTGGAATTCCGTCGGATGCCGCCTAATTCCGAAGTCGCATGCAATTTCGGAATCGGACGAAATTGCTGGGAATTGGTAGGAACTGGATCCAATTCCGTCTGATTCCGGAGTCGCATGCAATTCCAGAATCGAACGGAATGGCTGGAAATTGCTAGGAATTGCATCGGATTCCGTCTAATTCCGGAAATTGAGGGAACTGGATCGTTTTCGAATAAGCCGAGTTAGTTCGACGATTGGGAATTCCGGAATCGGATGGAACTGATTCCGGGGGTGAAATTGATTCCAGCAATGTGCAACATTGCGGAATAGGAAGACTGTTCTATTCATTTATTCTATATTTCATTAAAAAAAAAATAACAATTACGTCATTTATATGAACTTGAAATTTTAGTCCAGCATTTTATTGGCTTTGCAATTATCTATTTGATATAATTGCATCAATTATTTGGTTTTTTTATTTACTTGCTATATACTGTATATTTGATATTGCATTTAATGGTTCTCCAAATAGTCGATTTAAATCAACAAGTATCGTACCAATCAAATTCGCTACTCCATAGGATTTACGAGTACAAATTTATCCATTAACAATAATTATTGCATTACCAACATTACCATTTGTATATCTCATAACAAAAATATTCAAAAGTGATTTACTTGTACATACATATTGTCATATTGCTTATTAATTATGATTTAGTTTTTTGTTCTTTTTTTTTCAATTATTTTCTATATAGTGTGGATTATCAGTATAGTTTATATTAATTATTCTTCACTTGGTTAGTATTATTGTACCAATAGTAATAGTAATGTCACTTGTTAATCCTACACTTGTTGAAAAAGTGATTTATTGGTTATTAAATATTATTTTACCAACAATAAATGCACAAGCTATTGTAACATACATACTATCAGAAAAAAGTAAATTTTGTCAAATATTTATTATTAGTGATTTTACATTTTTTAAACCAATTGGTAATGATACAATGGAATGGAATTGGATAGTTCTTATTTTACATATTATTATTTCATTATTAATTTTAATTGCTATGGATTGTGGTTTCTTCAAATTTCGAATGAATTTTTCATGTTTAACAAAACCTTTACATTTTGATGAAAATACTCTTGTAATGATGTTCTAGTAGAACGTCGTCGAGTTTTAAATTTAAATCATTCAATAACAGATAAAAATCTATTGAATCCAGCTAATAATGAAGAAAGATACGATACCGATCATTTAATAGTTCATGATCTTGTTAAACGTTTTCCTGGTCGTAATGTTTGTGCTGTCAATCATTTAGTATTCGGTGCCAAACGTGGTGAAGCATTTGGTTTGCTTGGTTATAATGTAAGTTATATCATACAAAAAAACAGACTACTTCTTTTCTTTGTAAAAAAAAATCAAAAGATAAATTATTTAAATAGGGTGCAGGTAAAACAACAACATTTCGTATACTTGTTGGTGATGAACTAGCAGCTGAAGGTACTGCTTATATAGATGAACAAAATGTTAATCGTCGTTTAAGATCAATACGTCAATTAGGTTATTGTCCACAAGAAAATTGTAATATGAACTTTTTAACTATTCAAGATAGTTCATATTTATTAGCACGTATACGTGGTGTAAATTTTTCACGAATATATTCTCTTGTTCAAACAATTAGTTCATTATTTTTACTTGATCCATTTCTTAAAAATTATATTCATCAATTGACTGGAGGAACAAAACGACGATTACATGCTGCACTTGCATTAATTGGTAAAGCAATTTTGTAATTGTATATAATTACACATTTGGATTATTTTTAGGACCACCATTAGTAGCAATTCTTGATGAACCAACAACTAATGTTGATCCAAATGGTCGACAACAAATACAACAAATACTTATTAATGCTGTTAAAGCAAAATTAACTATTATATTAACAAGTCATTCAATGGATGAATGATATGAAAAAGATAAAAAAATTAATTAGATGAATTGATTTACTTATTTATTTATTTTTTTCTAGTGAACATGTATGCAATCGTTTTGGTATCATGTTTAATGGTCAATTAGCTTGTTTAGGTACAATTCAACATTTGAAATCAAAATTTAGTCAAGGTTATACAATTAAAATTAAAGTTCATTCAACATCTAATGATACAAACTAGAGTACTGCAACCCGACCCGACCCGACCCGCACCCGAGCCCGACCCGTGGGTGCGGGCGGGTTCGGGTTCAATCTTGTCGGGTGCGGGCGGGCTCGGGTTCAATCTTATCGGGTCGGGTCGGGTCGGGTGTGGGTTTGAAATTAAAAAATGTCGGGTTTTTATCGGGTCAGATTTTTTTGCGTATGTATGCTTCTGCCCTCTATTTTCGTTCGTCTTAAACTCACAGAATAATAAAACTGAATTCTATTGGTCAATGATTCTCAGAGTCTAATGAAATCAGAACGTAATGCTGTTATTAAAAATATACGAATACTTTTAAAGACTCTAGGTATAGATCAACAAGTCGATGAAGAAACAACAGAGACAGGTACCAACAACAATTCCTCAACACATCAAAAACGTATTAAAATAGACACTGTACACGATGTTCTCAAGTCTTTTAATGCATTTGTAGACTCATCATCAGACGATGATGATAAGAGGCCGATGGATAAAGTAGATGATTATATTAAAGCGAAAATATCATACCCAAAAGGAGCATCACTTTTACAACGGTGGCAAAAACACCCTATCATATACAAAAAGTGAGTTTCTTGATTACTATATCATTCTCCTTAAATGCACAAGAAAAATTCAATAAATTAATTTAAATGTGATTCTCCTTAGGTTATCATTATTGGCATGGTCTCTCTTAGCAGTACCTGCAGGTTCTGCTGTATCTGAAAGAATATTCAGTAAAACAGGTCGGATTCTTGAAGTTCGACGTCAACAATTGTCACCAGAATCACTTGACTCTCTTATTTTTTTACGAAATTTTTCAATTGTTTTGTATAAATTGAAGATATATTATTGATATTTGTACGATACTTATTTTTATGATCATTATCGATCTTAACTGTTTGAAATGTATGTATTTGAATGGAAATGTCATCATACTAAGTTGTGATGGTTTTTTTTGCAATCATGATTATCTATGTGTTTTTTATTGCTATAAAGCTTCTATCATTTTTTATGCTTAATATTGCAATAAACTGATGTATCTTTATAAAATAAACGAATTTAAATCTCTCGGGTCGGGTCGGGCTCGGGTTGAGCCTTGTCGGGTCGGGTCGGGCACGGGTACGACTAAAAGACCTCGGGTCGGGTGCGGGTTCGAAAAATCAAACCCGCGCAGGACTCTAATACAAACATGACAACTATTCAAAATGTTCGGTCATTTTGATTATTGCAAAGTCAATTGAATGTTGAAACTAGAGAAATAGCATATTCAACAGGTTCATTTCAAATTAAACAAAGGACACCAGCAGATTTATTTGAATTACTTGAACAACATAAACAAAATTTAAATATTGAAAAATATACAATATCACAAACAACATTAGAACAAATATTTTTATCAATTGGTAAAAAACTTGATGCTGATTTACAATGAATGTTTTCATCAATAGATTTTTGTTGTCTAATGACAAAATATCAATAGACATATTTGTGTGATTGTTTGAATCTTTATTTATTTTTATTTTTATTTTTATTGTTTCTAAAGGGTGTGGGTGTGGGTGTGTGCAAGGGGAAAAAGCAGATTTTAGCATTTATAATCTCTAAAATCTATTGAAATCTTTCAAAATCTTTTAAAATCTTTATATTAGAGGTGAGTAGGTGTAGGAAGTTACCATTATCGGTAGGTGGTAATGATATCCTTGAGGCCACAAGTTCTATTATAGAGGATACCCTTGCGTTCTCACATCTTATACTAAGGATGTATCTTTGGATCCTCAAGTCCTATACTAGAGGCTACGCTTGGGTCTTCATGTACTAATATAGAGGGTACCCTGAAGGCCACAAGTCATATCAAACGGGGTACCTTCGAGTTCTCATCTTCTATTATAGAGGGGTACATTTAGGTCCTCAAGCCTTACACTAAGGGAGTACCACCCGTAAGTTCTTAAGTCCTATATTAAAGGGGTACCCTTGAGTTTTCAATTATTAGTAAAGAGCGGTACCCTCAGGTCCTAGAGTTCTACTACATGAAGGTACCCTTGGGTCCGCAAGTCCTACTGTAGGAAGGTATCCTTGGCTCCGAAAGTTCTGCTATAGAAAGTACCCTTGCGTCCTCGAATCGTATATTAGGGAGTACTCCTGGACCTTCAAGTCCCATACTAGGGGGTACCCTTGGGTCTTCAAGTAATACACTCAAAAAAAATAAGGCACCGCACGAAACCAAAGATAGTTTTGTAATCTCTACGAAAATTTAAAATGATTTCGTATGAAGCACGAAACTTAAGAAGGTTTTGAATTTTGATACGAATTCGAAGCCTTTTTGAGGTTACGTATGATACTTTTGAGATCTTCCAAAAATATTCGTGAAGGGTCGACAATCATTTTGAACCTTTCTTGAGATTTTACGAAAAGTTAAGAAAAGGTTTCGACTTCGTTGCGAAAAAGTTTCGTATGGTACCATACTTTTTTCATACTACTACTCTGGTTACCATTATATCCTCAAATTTTATCCCCATGAACTTAGTCTCCTTCAAAAATGCCATTTTTCAATCATTCCGCAGATATAAATACAAGAAAAACTAAATAATTCGTGCACATTCACAGGTCAAAACTATCAAACAACAAAGGAGACACGAAAAGTCCATGCATGCTAAGTTGGCATCACCATTATTGCTCCTCTGGCACACATGAATCGAACCTATTGGCGCGCTAGCCAACCAATTATCTGATCACAACCGATCAAGTAAAATACAGCTTTCCATAATAACAGAACTGCATCGAATTATAACTTCAGAGTACATAAGTATCGTTTTCCTATTCAACACTAAAACCACATTTTCAACAAAAAAAACAAAAACGACGGCACGTGAAATCCTTCACTTCTGAGTAATAAACGAAATCAGGTTACAATTACAAGTCATAATTTCAAATCGACGATACAAAAGTTTCTGACCGATCCCCACTTCATTGGAGTGTCCATCTCTTCGATCGAGAAAATCAACTGCAGGGTTCTGAGATACTAATCCCGGTCTCCGCTTTCCCGACGTCGATATAGACTCGCCAGCCTTTAGAACAGTTCGTTATTTTCTCAAAAAAATCATCCCTATGATGAATAATGCAAGTGTCGAAGTTTTCTTTATCTTGTCCCCAATCATCTCTCAAGCTAATAGTAACTTTTTTCAGACACTTACTATAGTCCGTTTAAAAAGTCCGTGCGTGTGACTGTTTTTTGAATAACTCGAGAAAGCAAACAGCTAGAGATCTGCAGTTTTCACCAATCGAA